TAAATAAGAGCTTTTTTTCCCATCACGTCACCTTTGACGAGACTACTTTCCCATACGGTTCAATCACACCCTCCGAGCCGCCATCTTATGATTTTCTCTATGACTCCGACATCTTTGCAAATCTTCATCACATATTATCACCTGCCCCCGCTCCCCCTCTCCATAAGGGTGACGCCCACACTTCTTCTCCTCCTGCCACACCACCTCCTTCACAACTCCTCCTTCTCCTTGGTCCCAAGGTCTCACTTACAGGCTTTGAAAGATTCAAGCGGGCATAAAGTGATGAATGAAAAGTATAATGCTCTTATTAGAAATGGTACTTGAGTTCAGGTGCCTCGACCACCAGGGGCGAATGTGGTTTTATATGTGGTTATTTATGCTAAAGTTTAATGTTGATGGTTCTCTCTCACGCTACAAAGCACGTTTAGTTGCTAACGGGCGTAGTCAACAGGATATTGATTATGATGAGACTTTTAGTCCGATTGTCAAAGCGGCTACTATTCAGACCGTTCTCAATTTGGCGATCTCCAGACACTGATTATTCAGCTTGATGTGAAGAATGTCTTTCTCCACGGTCACCTTCAGGAGATTATCTACATGCATCAACCCCTAAATTTTCGAGACCCCCAGAATCCTGACTATGGGCTAACATTACAATACATGTACACAATATTATATCTCCTAATCAAACCCTAATGAACATGTTTACAATAAACTTTTTTTAAGTATCAGACCATTTAAGGAATTAAATAACACTTTTCTTTAACTACCAACACATTTAAGCAACTAAATAGCATAAATCCTGAAAATCATTAAGCCCTAACGAACACAAAATCTCCATGCTTAATAAAAACCTCCCTTAAACGCCACGTGTCCCTTTTTTAGAGCTCCTTCGTTCCATGTGTCAATAGTGCAACTTTCTTATCAATTGTTTTCCCGCTCATTGACTCTTTGAGGAATCGATATCTTCTCCTATTAATTAGCAATTCAAGTACCATATTCACCCTGCAACGTCTTCCTAACTTCGCGTCTTCCCAACTTCCTTTCCAAATAAAAGTCCATGAAATATGGATTTCCAAATGTGAAATCCCTAAATCTCTGTTCCTTCTAATCTTTTCCCATTACTATAGTTTTCGTCTGCCCTCTGTCATTCATAGTTCTTTCTCTATCACGTAGCTATTGGATTAGGTATAGAAATAGCATGAGGTAAACCATACCTCTATTATCTTTTCTCCAGAAAAGATTAGACACTCCATCTGCCCTATCTTATAGCCGGTGAATACACTTCACCACCATCCACCATAAACCCTAATACCACTGCTATTTCTAAAAGCTTGGTTACCCAAACGTGTTGGCCGATTGAATTTCCTAGGTGCTCACTTTCTCTTTTTGTCTCTCTTTAGTCTAACAACGATGACACAATTAGGGTTTGGGGATTTGATGCACAAAAAAGGTACACACTTAATCATATAAAATACCTTTAGTTTTTGGCTTAATCATTAGTCATCTATGGTTTGCCTCTTTATTTCTTAAATACTGTCGTGTGAAAGTTTATTTAGATTCTTACTTCAGGAATTAAATATTTTTATCATTAAATTGGAGCTTCAAGAAATAGATAGTCGGCAAAAAGTAGGAGGGCAAACACTTTTCTGAAACTTATTAGTTCATGATTGTCTTCAAGGTATGTGTTATTGTAAAGGTTAATAGTTGTTCAAACATTAATGGTCTATATAACTGCTAAAATGGCTAATTAGTCTTGCTATTAAGTTTTTTAGCATATTAGTCATGTTTTATTCACCAAGTGCTACTGGGATAACAATTTGTTTGGGATAAAGAATAATGTTACAAGATCTTAGAAAATTGCATCAAACTTGGGACTCCTTTATAGTTAAGGAGTAAAGTGCACTGAAATAGAATAATATTAGCTTTGTACGTTCAATAGTATCATATTTATTTACTTCTTTTACAACTTTTATTTCCATTTTTTTTCTTCTTAAAAAATTATTAGATTTGAAATTATTTTTTTTATTTGGGTCTTATGGTTCGGTTTTGAAAATAGGTCCTTTTTCAGTATATGGTCATTTGTGTTCCAAAACTAAAATAATTTTATGTTCTTAAAAGGTCAATTCTTTGTCAAGCAAATAAAAACCGTTCATCAGGTAAATAAAGACAATGATATTTATATTCATATTTCATATGTATATAATCAAATAACATTGTTATATATTTTATGCATAGTTGTGTATATACTTAGAAGGAAGGTGCTACTCTTTGTTCCTGAGTGAAAAAGCTTTATGCATGTACTCATTATTTTTAGAGTAACTTACATATTTGGCCCCTGAGTATGTTTGATTATTTAAATTTTGTTCCAAAAAAGTTTTTTGCAGTTTCAATCCTTAGTTTAGGGCATTTATAAGTTTTTTGTCACTATTTTGAATAACATAATCGTAATATGTTTTTTTTATTCTTTTAGAAAAGTTTATTTATTTATTAAATCATTATTATATTAGTTTTGTGGTTAGTGCCTTGACTTTTCATGCATTTAACCCATTTTTTTAATTAAATTGCAGCTAAAGAAAGATGGAAGGAGAGTTTTTGATCATGTTAGATTGCTTTTCCATCGGGTTGTTATTTATTTGTTTCTTGATTTTTTGATTCAAATCCTATAAAATCAGTAGTTGATTTATCTCTTTTCAATCCTAAAATAAAACTAACTCTTCTTCTTCTTCTTCTTCTTCTTCTTCAATTTACACTCGCTCTCACTCCTTCCTCCCAATTTTGACGATTTCTTCTGCCACTAGGTCTCCACCATCACCTACTCTGCTGCACAACACCATCTGACCACCACTACTGCATCTTCATAGTTTAGTCACACACCCTTATGACAATATTTGAATCTCTTCCCCCGTTCACTGGTGCTCCACCCTTGGGCTTGTCAATTGTTTAACTACTCATTAATAGCAAGGTGTTGATATCCTGTTTTGTTTTCTACACATCGATTAACTTTTCAAGATTTATGGTTTTGCAGGGTTGGCATTTTTGAAGTTTTGGGATGGAATTGGGAGGTTTTTGCTTGCCAGAGAGTTTGATTGGCTTTTAGTCAAGTTCATGAACAAATTTATTACTTTTTAATTGGTACTCAATTCTCTTCCTTTTCGATTTCCATAATGTCAATATAGAGGGGAGGAGGAAACTAATTGGTGAAATCTACTGATTTTATACTATTAAACTCATGGTGTTAATAGTATATCCTTTTACTCTCTCTCTCTCTCTCTCTATATATATATATATATATATATATATATATATATATATATATATATATATATATGAAATCTGACCACCGTTTACTTCTATCTCTCTAACTCTCTAACCTTGTCCTTTTTATCTACCTTAACCAGCGACCTAATTCCCCACCCGAGTTCTCATCAAACGAGAACCAGGTAAACTTTTACATAAGATTTTTAGACATAAATCTCAATTTAAAGCACTTTTTCTGTAATTTAAATAGCCTTTTTTATATATATTTCTTCAGTTTAAAGAGATTTAAAAAAAATGGGACAATGTGTGTTATTGTAGTCGAGTTTCTTAATGTTGTCGTCTAACATTCTATAACTTATTTCTCCAAATTGTTTAGATCATATCGTTTTTCCTTTATAGGTGTGCCTGTTCTCCAGATGGTTTAGATATTAGGATATGGTTTGATGAAATTCCTTGGGTTTTAGATAAACATTTTTGATTAAAGTACTCAGTGAAGTAACAAAGGTTTCCTTCACTTTTGATACATTTACGTTTTTTGAGTAATAAATCTTTCTTGTAATCCATTTCTTGAATGTAAACATATGTTTTAGGTTTAAATAAGATATGTTTTTGGCTTTTAGGAGGTGAAGAAATAAATAAAAAGAAGAGGTCTCAAACTTGCAGGAATCAAAGTCATCAGCAAACTAAGTAGCCGAGCCATATTTATCTAAAATGGGTAGCCGTGTAGTTGAGTAATTAGTCTCAACACATACGTAGGACCTTGAATTTTATCTTTCGTAATTTGCTTCTTAATGATGACAAAATATGGTTTCTTGAATTATCAGGCCAGACCCTCAGCTGAAGATGAGATGTTCAAAGTGATCAGAACTTGCAAAAGGAAAAGTGAGTTTACCCACATGACCATCATATATTTTAGGCTCCCTTTTGTAGTCTGTGTGGTAGATTCTTTGGTTAGTGTTGTGGCTTCTGATAGATTCTTTGGTTAGTGTTGTGGCTTCTGAACTTCTTTTTTTGGGTACTTATATTGTAGTTGAACCTTTTTGACAATCTTGAAGGACATTGTTTCCCATTTTAATAGATAATTTGTGTAAGTCTAGATTTACCGTTACAAGATTGGAATAATAGAAGGCAATTTGCATACAATTAAATGTACTTCGGTACTGTTTTTAGAATTTAGATATCATCAATTTTTATCGGAATTAATAAAATTAATAATAGATTTATAAATGAATTATGTTTTATTTTTCATTTATTATAATTTAATATTTTTTAATATTTTTTATAATCAACCTGTGCGGTACACAGGTTATAACCTAGTCACATAATATTTCTCATAAATCTGTTGCTGAATCAATGAAAATCAATAGGCTATATGTGGAAATCCAGGTCCCTCGGTGATCCATCGCTAATTATCAAAGAAATAAATCCGTCTCTGTCTATGATATACCTATGATTCTAGTAGTTTTTGGAATAAATTAAAATATGTTTTAAAAGATAAAGTGGAAAATGGATTAGAATTGTATTTTATTCTTATTTCTTATGAAAAGAAAATACAATGAATAAGTATGTATACTCGTTATGCACCGTCTCACCACACATCCATCCACGTTACAACATATTGACTTTTGACTTTTGAATTATTCGATACATGCTATTCCAATATTTGACACATATTGATCAAATGCCTGGAATGACATGAACCTTCTTCTTGGATTGAGGACATATTCTCCGTAATCAAATCAAGGCTTGAATGCAGAGAATGCTACAACCGAATTATGTCCACCAATACCAAATGAATTTGAAATGGCTGCATATATACCAGAAGTTAAATATTGAAAAGTGAACTTAATATATAATTGCAACTAAAACATAGAGGAAGCAAACTCACCAACGTTGATTTCATGCTGTTGTTTTTTATTTGCAACGGTGTCAAATTCGACTGCAGGTTCTAGGTTCTACAAGAGGAATGAGAAGGCAAAAAATTAAAGAAAAATTGATGAAAGGGAATATAATAGCCAATAGGAATGTAGGGTAATTAATTATACAAATTGATTAACGGTAGGGTGTAACCACCCGGTTTGAATCGCTTTAATAGTAGCTATCGCTTCAACACCTCCCGACGCTGCCATGCAGTGCCCAATAATTGACTGATATTAAACAAAACGAAATTAGTAGTTCAGTCTAAATCTTTAAATTGACCCAACTTGACTCCAAAATACATCTTCTATTATTATTATTATTATTATTATCATTATTATTATCATTATTATTATTATTATTATTATTACTTTTTCTTTTTGGCAACTTTGCAATCTTTGTCCAAATCACGGAATTGTTGTAACTAAGAACATATATAATAGAAGTACTGTTTGTTGTAGTTTTTTCATAAAAGTTCAAAATGAAAGAAACTTAATTTGTCTACATGTACAATATAAGAGCTTTTTCAAGTTACTTATTATGGGCTCTAAAGTCCAATAGGTTTTCACTTTTGCAGTCTTTGTTCAAATTAGTAATGGCTAATGTTGTTTAAACCAACCATCTGAGATGTTCACTTTTGTCCATGAACCAACTCGCCGTTAAGCAAAAAGATAATGTCATTATTAAGTTGATGTTGTAACAACATCAGGCATAAGGAGTTCACCTTAGTAGCATTCACTTTGATCCCTGTAGTGTTGTTGAATACCTTCTTCAGAGCATTTGCCTCAGCTAGATCGCCAAGTATTGTTGAAGTTGCATGTGCATTGATATAATTTACCTACAATCAAGAATATGTTTCAGAAGCGAATCCAATGAGTTTCTTTATTATTTAAACAGGTTTAAAGGAAATTAATCTTGAAAAAAATAAAAGCGAAGTACCTCCTCTACCGAAACACGAGCATCCACAAGGCATCTTTGAATACAAGATGAAACACCAAATCCATCGGATCGTGGACTAGTTATATGATGTGCATCAAAACTTACTGCACCTCCCAAGTATTCAGCAAGTATTGGTGCATCCCTTTTCATTGCATGTTCTAAACTCTCCATCACCTGCAAAAAACACGTAAATATGAACTACAAAAAGATATGTATATCAGATCCAGAGATGAAAAGCGTTAGAAAGTTACCAAAACACCAGCACCTTCACCCATCACGAAGCCATCTCTATCTTTGTCCCATGGTCTTGAAGCAGTCTGAGGATCATTGTTTCTTTTAGACAATGCTCCCCACGAAGCATAACCAGAAATTCCAATAGGAACAACCGCAGCTTCAACGCCACCAGCAATCATCAAATCTGCCTTCCCTTCACGGATATGATTTGCAGCGGCATACAAACAATAATTGGATGTTGCACAAGCAGCTGAAATGGAGTACGTTGGTCCCATAAAGCCAAGATCAATAGCAAGTAAAGCAGAAGCCATGTTTGATATCTCATAAGGTACTAGAAAAGGTGTGATTTTCCTGAAACCCCTCTGTATGAGAGACTTCACACCATCGTAAAACACGGTTGCCCCTCCAAGTCCACATCCAACAAGCACACCTGCACGCTCCTTATTAATCTGCATGTCATCGGATATCACTGTCAAGTGTCATATAGCTAGCGAACATATCAATGAAATGGTTTACGAACCTTAGAGAGTTCATCACCGCTAATAGCAGCATCTTCAAGAGCTTTCTTCCCAGCAACAATGCAATAACGTTGACAATCATCAAGTCTCTGGTCCGTTTTCCGATCAATATATCCATTTGACTTGAACCCACGAATCTGACCACCGAATCGTGTAGTGAGTTCTGAAGCATCAAATCGATCTATTAAAGTGATTCCGCTTTCCCCGGTTAGGAGTCTTTCGTAAAACTTATCGACGTCGCTTCCAAAGACAGAGACTATACCCATACCCGTTATAACGACACGTTTTTTTGCGTCTTTCTCTCGTGTTGGGGTGATGGAAGGATGGTGGGATAATAAGACGGTGCGTCGTGTGGAGGTGGTGGATAATGGGGCCTTAACAGTTGTGAGTAAAGTGTTTTTGCGGAGTGGGTTGAATGGGAACGCCGGGAGATGTGGTGACTGGAGAAACTTTTGGGTTTCCATGATTCTTTAATTAGAGTGTGATCTTGAAGATAGTGATGCTAGGGGGTAATATATACACACGCATTTATGTTTAACTCTTAACAAAATCAGGGGTTATATTGATTGATTGTGCTTAAAAGAATAATTTTAGGTTAGAGAATTATCATTCTCTTAAAATATGTTAATAACAACAAAAGCCAACCAATAAGGCTAAACGGTATCATAAAAAATTCACTGGAGCATAGCTATGCTGATGTGGATGGTTTACGGCCGGTAAATATCGGGCTGCAGCATCTCTTTTACCGCTAGGCCTGACAATCGTATCGTGTTCGGGTTGGCGTGTCGCGGGTTGGCGGTTGGCGGGTCAAAATATGTCAACCCAAACACGACCCATTTAAATATACAGGTCACGGGTTGGCGGGTTTGGAACATAAACCCATAAATGACCCACCAACCCATTTATTTATACGGGTTCACAGGTTGGCGGGTTCGTGGGTCAGATTTGGGTTCGTGGGTCCGAATTTTAGACATTTAAGTCTTAAACATCCAAATGAAAATTAAAAACATTCATAGAAACATGTTACAGACTTAGTCTTATAGGTTACGACTTATGACCTTAAATCATCCACCACGAGTCAAAATGTCAAAACAATCAAATGGTCTATGAATCAATGGTATATATTATATAATACTTATTAAATATTAATACTTGATATATAAATACATTTAAAAATAAAGTAATTTTTTTTTATTAAGAATATAAACGGGTTGGCCGGTCAACCCGTTTATTTTTTGAGAAACCCATATATGACCCGTTTAATAAACAGGTTGGCGGGTTGGCGGGTTGAAAAACTCAACCCAAACCCATTTATTTCGTGTCGTGTCGCGGGTCGTGTCGCGTGTCGTGTCGAGAATTGACAGCCCTATTTACCGCCGGTATAATACCTGCGGTGGGTTTGTACTGGGGTGAAATGTTTGAAAATGTGGCTGTTAGAAGGAAATGAACGTTGTCTACAGTTGGCAAGAGATAGTTTTGTATCTTCTTTTCTTTTTCTTTTTTAAAGAAATTTACTATTATATATATACATACCATTCTTCCAAAATTACCGATTTACACAATCTTTACACACTTTTTAATCAATGTCGTCCAACAATCCAAACTCTTCCAATTAAAATGCTCCAAACCAAAATGTTTCCTATCCGTTCGTACTTTTCGGTTACGATCCGACATCACCACCACCTTAATGGGCACAAGTGGATGGTGTTCCTACCTATTATTCATAATTCCAATTGCCACAACAATTTCAATTCCAGTCCCAACCGCAAACGTAACCATCCAAAACCCAATTTCATTTTCAATCTCAATCGCCTTTCACGCCTTCAATTGAAATTCTTTCCGATTCGGAACACGAAGAAGAACAACCTCAACAAAGAAAAGGGAAGGTCGATCTAAGAAGACGGACACAAAAAGAAGAAACCGAGTTAGCAAAGGCAAGGGTCGATATATGCGAAGATGGCGACACAGGTAAGGGTCAATGGTGTGATCAATTTTTGTTACATATTACATAGCGGTTTTGTCAGGGAATGGGTCGAGATCCAGATTAGCAGACGTGCGACCAATGTAACTTGAAATAGAATTTTGTTAAAAAACTAGTGACACATTGGAACGAAATTTACACAAACTTTGAAAAGCAATGTGCTAGCGGAGAAAATTAGGCGAGTTTGTTGAAAAAAAAATGCACGCTATATTCCAAGATAACATGCTAAATCCTTTTAAGTTTATTCATGTGTGGGAAGTTGTCAAAAAAATAGTTAGATGGAGGGAACTTGCAACACATGAAGAAATTGTTAATCCGTCAAAAAGAAGCCGAACATCTTCATATTCGAGCTCACAACAAGTTTCATCGGATGGTCACGTAGGCATTAATCTTAATGATGATAATGACGACATCAAAAAAATACGCCCGCCTCCTCGTCCCATGGGAATGGACAAAACAAAAACTCGGGAATTAGGAAAAGGTAAAGCGACATCTTCAAATTCGTCGGTCGGAACCGAACGGCCAGCTAGACCGGAGGAAATGATGGAACAAATGACACAATTGAATACAACTTTAGAAAAACATATGGTTGAAACAGTCCAACTCACATAATATTCGTTGTTGATGCAAGATGTGAGACACCTCGACCCGAAGATCAGGAGGCGGCTAAAATGGTGAAGGCTTTGATTCATGAAAAGTATAAACTCAAACGCGATTGAAATTTGAATGTTATGTTTTTTTTCTAGGTTTTTTAATTTTTCACTTTAAGTTTTTTTTAATGTAATTTTTAATTGTTATTTTTTTTTAGGATTTCTAAAATATAATTTTTTATTTTATGTTATTTTAAATTTTAATATGGATTTTATTAAATAATTAAAGTTAAAAAAAATCATAGGTAAAACCACATACCACCCTGGTTCATAGGTAAAATTTGTAAAAAAAATGTAAAAACTGATTTGGCCCAAGAGTAGACCTTTTTACCATTGGCAAAATATGCACCATACCTTTTAACCTAATATATTTTATATGGGAATTTCATATATAAAAAACAATAAGTTTTAATTTATCCAATTTTGTTAAAGTTTAATGGACCACACCTCAATTAAAGTTTAATGGATTTCCATATCAATATTCTATTAAATCTTTTTTTTAATAATACTAATACATAAAACTAGAATATTACATTAACTAAATAATATCTAGAAACCATTAGACCGAAGGAATTAAGGGGTGTTATCTTTAGGGACCACAACCATAACAAAACATACTTTTAGAACCAAAATTACAAGTTGAAAAGTTGTTTAACCCAATCCAAAGAGAATCCAAATTCGTTAAAAAAAATCCATATATTTTGGCTTTATTGACAAAAAGTCACCCTTAATTTTTTATTTGTTTTTCATTTTTTGCAATTTAACCACTGGAATCGGCTATTACGGGCAATTTGACCCAGTTATTAGGTTACCGCAAACAATAACATATTTCGATGGTTAAATTGTAAACAAAGTATCAATGGTGACTTTTTTATCAATATGTTAAAATATATGTACGCATAATAAGTTTTAACCCCAAGTCTTATATATTTTAAGATTAAAAGGGTGGTTGGGATTTCATTTTGAACCTCAAAAGAATTTTTAGGCAAAATAACTTATTTACTTATGGTGGTGAGAAAATAAGTTTTTTTAAAAAAGATTTTGTATTAGCTTTTCTGGTGGAAAAGTCAATAAGTCAATGAAGTGTTTTTTAAAAAGTGTTTGTCTTAAACTAATACACGTTTTAAGGGTATTTGACTTTTACAAACCAAAAGTTATAAGGAGTTTTGAAAAGGGTGCTGATTTTGCCACTGAATATTTTTATATAACCACAGAAAAAAAAAGAATAAATTGACTACTATACCCCAATTTAATTTCTAGATACTGGTGAGAGAAAGATCCCGGTTTTTCAGGAAACTCTAAACAACTCCTCCTTCAGCGGTTATTTCTTCAGTCGACACTGAATCTTCAGTCGGAAGTAATGCACCAAAAATACTACTAAAAGAAAGTTTTCACGACCTCCAATTGAAATATATTGATTCACATCCAGTTTTTCCCCTCTGCGATGTTATAAACGATTTCCTCCTTGTGCGCTTTGTGTTGATGTGATTTTTCATTCTCCCTTCTAATTAACCGTAGTAGTTTTTGCAGGTACCCCCATTCACTACACTACTACAAAAAGCGTCATAAGACCTGACAATTAGGACCCGGTTTTGGGGAAAACCGGGATATATTATGAAAAAAACGGGTTCTATAAGAGAGATTGTAATATGACCCGGTTTAAATTAAGAATCGGGACATATACTAAAATTAAATAAGCCAGTTTTGATTCATTGAACCGTGGCTTATAACCTTCCAATTATATGACCCGTTTTTAAACATAGAACCGGGCCTTATTCTCTTGCCCTAGAGAACAACTATACATCCAAATTCTTTTTCATCAAGTTTTTGCACATTTATGAAAAACATTTATTACTCCTTTTTCATATTTATTAGACTTGTACACACCATGTGTCTTATACAAACTTTCAAACACGTCATACTAGGAAGCCATATGACCCGTTTCCAACAACCAAGTGTTTTTACTTCATTTAGAAAATGCAAATG